CCATGGAGACCCTGGCACAACTGCTGATAAAGAGTGTCTGATGTTTGGTAGGCCTCGTTGCATGGTACATACCATTTAAAGGACGACGTGTGTGTGTGTGTGTGTGTGTGTGTGTGTGTGTGTGTGTAGCATGCATGTGTGAATCTGCAAGATAGCAAGTGTGCCTGTGTGGGTGGGTGGGGTGATTGGGGGAGGTAAGTGGAGAACAGGGTGCAGAGGGGGAGGAAGGAAGCAGAGCTGGCTTGGCATATCATGAAGGAATGTTCGGTGTTTTCATAAAGAATTTGTAAATACTTGCTTGCCTCAAAAAATTACTCCAGCCTTCTAAGAATCCACATGCTAAACAGATGGGGGCAGCAGAAGATGCACAGACTCTCCCCTTGGTCTAGCAAAATTAGTCTTTAATTCATCTGAAAGAGAATTAAGCTAAAACAATAAAAGTGAAGATGCGCTCTTTTGCGTCCTGTGATGAATGCAGCCTCTTTTTAGTGGTCTGCCTGAGGATCAATAGTGGGCCTGTAAGGATCGCCAGCATTTGCTAGAGTGGGCTAGCAAGATGATGGATTTTAATCATTCAAATGATTTTATAACCACAAAACAAAGAAGGCTGATCCTCCTTTCATGTGCATGATCTCAGTTTTGCTGCAATTGCTTTTGCCAGTCCTAAATGCACTTCCTGTCTTGAAGGCAAATCTTGCATCCCTCGGATTCCGTTCTACACGTCCCTTCCCTTTCTGCTCCTAAATGATCAATGGGGGCAACTTGCATTATTTTATTTATTTATTTTTTTACTGGTGCCCTGGTGCCCTTTCGCCTGTTAGCCCCAGACCTGGAGAGGGATGGTCCTCTGCAGCCACAGCCAGTCTCCCTGCTGGCGTTGTCTGAGGCAGGCACCTCTGGTGGGCGGGCAGGCGGAATCACCTACAGTAAGCAAGCTCTGGAGCGAGCGGCTGGGTTGTAACAATGGGAGGCCGGGCAATCTGCGACAGTTGATAGGATTATTATTATTACAGAGCGCAAAAAGCTTCTGCTTTCTTTTCTGCTGCTTTGCAGACCTCATAAGGCCTCTCTGTGATTTCTGCATAGTTAATTTGTCAGTTTATAAATTACCACATTATGTTAACGCTGAATGCTTCAAAACACAAATATATGCACAGAGGGCTTGAATATTTGAAGTGTTTTAGTACTATGGGGAAATAATTTTGTTGTCAAGCTGTGGCAGATATAGAACTGCTAGGGGATACATGGCCATTTCATCAGGACTGTGTCGATGATGGCCTGTGAACATCCAAGGGGGAACATCATCTTTTATCACTATTGTGTACCGTGCCGGTCCAGATGGGGGATAAAACATGCATGAGTTGCCCGCAGCTCTGAAAATAATTATACTCATTTGCCAGAAATGTAGAAAGTGCATCCAACCAAGTTACCACCCATCATAGTGACACTCCGTTTGCATACTGATGAAGTTTAAAGCCAGAGACAATGGTGTTGGTATCAATAGTGAGGGGGGGCTGGGCACCACCAGTGCCGTAGGATTAATAGCGCCATCATTTTATATTATGCAGCATTTCACTTATGCTGCATATCAAAAGACTCCTGCCTCTGAGGTTCACCTCGCTGTTTATAAGATTACAGTTTGCTTTAAGACTCCAAACATTAGCATGGATTCTTCGCAGGTTCCACAAATGAATGCAAAAATATCTGTGTTTGAGAAAGTGCCTAGAATATAATTATGGGTAAATATGTTTGGATGCCATTATAAGTGCTTGCATGCGTATGTTTGTGAGTGTGGGCGGGTGTATACATACCCACATGCACACGCGTGATTTTGGAAGACTGCAAGGGAATATGAGAAGATAATATGCGCATGCTAAGTCCTGGTGCTACTGCAGAGTCATTGATGAATGGGTTTTCTTAAATGTAGAAAGAGAATGGATACAAGTAGGACCCAAGAGAATAATTCTTTATATTGCAATCAGCTCAGCTTATATGTACTTGCTTTAATCGTAGAAATCAGCAATAAAAAGCATAGATGTGGTTATTTAATTCTTGCTGAGTAAAAGAGAATGTCTTATAATGACCCTCTAAATTATTGTAAAATATGAAGTTATTTTGATATCCTTTTCACTTTTAAACCACGTGAAATAATCAGTGCCGCCATTTCCAGAAGACTGACAGATTTCTTTTTAATGTTTTGAAACCAGCAAACATTCATGCATAAACCAAGAGATGCTTTCTCATGGAACCGGGAATTCTCATAGGTGTTCCACCCTTTGAAAATAGCTCAATCATGATGTCGTCACGATGCTTATTTTTAAGTAATGATTTTAATTAAACCCCCTAAAAAGGAAACAATTCTATCCTCCTCTTCCATGGTCCAGACTCTCATGATTAGACAAGTGCAGTTTCCCATTTTACTCTGGTGTCATGGGGGCAAGGATAACAATTTCCATCTCATCATGCAAGAGAGGTGCTATACTTCACTCTGCACGAGGCTTTGGTATAATCAGAGGAAGCGTTCTACACTATAAAATTACAATAAAATAACCAAGGAAAAGTATTATTTCAGCAGAAGTGGTTCAAAGACAAGGCTGAAATGCAGGATGCCACAGAATAGTTTTATACAGCAGCAAATATAGATTTTTTTTCCAACTAACTGGGGCAGAAAGGACCAATAAATTCTTTACAACTCTTATGGTTCTACTTCTCTTGGAATGGTCTTCGAAACATGGTGGGAACAGGGAATCCCGTAATGCGGGGTTGAGAGTAGTGAGGCAAACCAACTGGAGAAAGGAAGGACTTTCCCAAGAGTAGGTGGCAGGGCATCTTCTTGGTAATTGAAGGCAGATATTCAGAAATGATGCTCCTGCCTTCCCTTGCCCTGGCTGTAATGAGAGCACATTGGGATCATGCTGAAGATCTGAGGACAGTCCTGAAACTGCCATGATGAAAATCTATCAGGGAAGAGCAGAGAATATGCTCCTGCAGCCAAAGACTTCTGAGAAGGTGATAAATTTATTTAAAGTTCAATGAGAAATTAAGCTAATTCTCTGGGTCTTTAGAACTGTTGTTATTGATCAGTTTTTATATGCCAGAAATTTTTTTTTTTTAAAGAGAGAGTGAGAGAGGGAGAGGGAGAGAGAGAATTTTAATATTTATTTTTTAGTTATTGGCGGACACAACATCTTTGTTGGTATGTGGTGCTGAGGATCGAACCCGGGCCGCACGCATGCCAGGCGAGCGCGCTACCGCTTGAGCCACATCCCCAGCCCATGCCAGAAATTTTCCTTGGGGTCTCAGGTTTTGAAGGAAAAAAATGAACAGAGAAGCAGGTAGACACATAGATGTGCATGCTTGTATGCATGCGTGCGCATACACACGAGGCTTTGCCAAGGATGCAGAAGTGATAATAATGGACATTTAGAGAACATTTTACTATATGGTGTGTGTGTGTGTGTGTGTGTGTGTGTGTGTGTGTGTGTGTAATCTTTAACTCTTATGACAATCTGAACGGTAGTTATTGCCACCCATTTTACAGTTAAAGAAACTGAGGCAGATGAAGGTTACTAAGTTGGCCAAATTCACACAGCTGGTAAATTAGAGTGATTTGAATGCATGTCTGTCTCACTCTTCTGCTGTATGAAGTGTACAATGTGTGCCAGCTCTTTATGTCTATCAAAAATACATACAGAGCTAAATACTGTGAGATGAATTAGGTAAGGCTTTTGCACTGAAGGAATGGAGTGAAAAGAAATAAAAAAAGACAGTATTGACTGGTTATCTTAACAACAATCTGGATGCTGAGAGTGTTTGGATTGAATAAATTCTGTCTTTTGGCAATGACCACTTTTGTGGATAAATAAATATGGAAATAGTTCTCTCTGCATGTTATAGGTCAGGATGTGAGACATCAGTGGGAGAGTGCTAACATTTTATTCTGTTTATTTGCTCTATTGATGGTCTTCATTGTGTCAGAGAAGATACTATAGACAAAGACGGAGCACTTATGCTCCTGTCCCCTTTCCTTCCTGAACATTCAGTCCTAATATCTTCAGGAGGTAAAGGATCAGGTTGGCATCTACTCCAAAAGTAGCAGGGGAGCTATGTTGGCACAGAGAGGGTACCAGAGATGCCAGAGCCTGAATGGACTGAGGCTTGTATAGAGAGTACCAGGTCTGCCTGACTTAGGGTGCCAGAGCCTAAGCAAGGCAATCCATGTGTGCATGCAAGGAATTGGCTCAGTGTGGGGAATAGAAGCCCGAACAGATTGAGGAAGATGTCCAAGGAGAAGGAGACCGTGTAACATGTTGAGCTGGAATCAAAGCAGAATGGAGTGGGCATTCTATGTGAAGGTGACCCAGCATGGAGTGTCAGAGCCCACTTACAGTTTGGAGATTGCCCACCAAGAGAGGTGGCTGGATGTGGGTGATCGAGCTCACAAGACAAGGGGATGGTAGAGGAAATGAATTGGTTTCCTACAGGAGTGTTGATCAAATAAGTAAATCTGTTAAGGATAATATAAGCCAGTTTATTTGTGGTTGGAAAAGGGAGTTACAAATATGGAACAGGAAGAAGTAAGAACGAACTTTGTGGGCTGATTTGGAGTTAGAGACATCAGTATGACTCACGGTTTTCAAAATATATAAATAGAGAAATACATAGGAACAGACATTGCTTAGCTCTGTTTGCCTCGAGGATGTGGGGACTGCAGCAATCCAACAGTGATCAGTACACCTATGTCCAATGTCAGCTTTTAATACCGTTCCCCACTAAAAGGAGCCAAGATTTGGAGAACTGGCTAATTCTTGGGTTGGAGCAGAGAAAACACAGCCTGTAACATCTCATTTTGCAGAAAGTGCAACTGAGACACAGTCACACATTCCATAAAATGAGGATAAGACAATTCTAAAGGAGGAACAGAAAAAAAAAATAAATCCAGAATATTTATGCACTCATATTGTTTGAAAAGTAGCTTTAACTTCTCACTCTTTTTAAAGAAACAGGAAGAGTCAGAGCTGAGCTTTAAGCAGAAATGACAAAGATCACATCCAAAAGAAAACCCGTCAATCCAACAAAACATTTAAGGTATTTATATATCACCTTTTATGACTTCCCTATGTTGACTGACTTTATTAATAAGCCAAACTCCTTCTGGCCCTAATAACCTGGAACAAAGAGGTCTTCCACTGCAAAAAGTGTATTGCTATCTTGCCAGAGTCATGCACAAAAGTCAATTCTGGAATGCCATCAAAGGTGAGATGGGAATGGGAGGGTTTCTGAGTCCTGTCACTCAATGGCTGTGAAATTTTTCAAACCTTGAACCACTTTCTATTTTGGTTTCTTTATAAAGTAGGGGACTCAGACAGGAGAATCCCTAAGATCCAAATGCATCATCACACTTATTTGTTTTTCTCTCACTGAGTGGGCTGAAGAAGACCTAAGCGTTTCATACAGTCATTACATTGGGCCAAGGTGTTCTGCCATATTGCTAGGCTGTTTCACAGCTGAGATGGCTGCTTGGCTAATCAGGTCCCTCCAGCTTCTGAGTGAAGCCCCAGTCTGGATTGCTGTTGGATGTCCATATGTAAATGACAGATGAGGTGACCAGTTGAAAACTGCAATTCGGAACCACCATATTAGGGTGGTAAGGCCATAGGAATCACCTTTCTGAGCTCTGATCCTTCTGAGATTAAAATTCTGTTTTTCCTTTTCTCTTTTTTTTCTCTGATTTGGAAAACGGTCAGCACTTGTACTAGTCAGTTTTCCACTACTATGATAAAATACCTGAGATAATCAACTTATAAGGAGAACAGGTTTATTTTGGCTCACGATTTTGGAGGTTTTGGTCCATGATCCGGTAGACTTGCTGTTCTATGCTGGTGGCAATGTGAAGGAGCATGAGGCAGAGCAAAGTGATTATTACATGGCTGGAAGCAAAAGAAGAAGAGGAAGAAGCTGGGGTCTCACAATCCCCTTCCAGGGCAAATCCCTAATTGTCTGAGGACCTCCCATGGTCCCACATCCTAAAGGTTCCACCACCTCCCCAATAGTACCACCCTGGGGACCAAGCCTTTAACACGTGGACATTCAGGGAACATTCAACATCCAAACTACAGCACCTTCTTCTCATCCAGACTACTAGGAGCACTATGGATGCTATTGCACTTCATAGTCTGTTGATCCAAAGAGTGTTTTTTTTTTTAATATAAACCTATCAATGTTTTGAAACAATCACAAACTTACTAAAAATTTGCAAGTAGACTACAAAGAAACTCCCCAGCCCACCCTGAGCTATTTGAAATGCACACTGTAGTGTGTGGGGATGATGGAACATCAGGCTGGCAATTTTTAAAAATCTAAATCCTCAGGTGAATATAGGGATTAAACACATGAGGAGTTCATAGGTGGAGTAGGCAAAATGATGTCTCCTTCCACGATCTGGAAAACTAGAATAAACTTCAGGGCATTGGTTTGGAATTGAAGGTACCAGTTTGGCCACGATTCTTGATATAAATAGAGAAATATAGATATAATATATGTTTTTTAGCTTCGTCCACCTGAAGAATTAATAGTGCCAAGGGTAGCTGGTGCCTCATCTTGGTTTCTAAAGGAGTCAAGACTCTTTAGAGAAATGGTTTGGTCCAAATAATTAATTGAAAAGAAAAAGGAAAGAAATAGTTTGGGGTATGGAAAGCACAACATGAGCCTGAAGCATCTTCTTGTGGCCCAGAAGAAAGGAAGAACTTATAGAGTGAAGCAGCCACATGCAGCCAGCTTAGAGGGATCCTACTGCAAAACTGATGGCAGTTTAAGCACCAAAATGATTATATTACTAAATTACATCTCATGAATAAAATCATTATGGAGATAATAAAAATGGATTGAAATTTGATGAGGAACAGGATATGTTCATAGTTTCAAAACATCTCCTCACAAATTATTTATTAATTATTAACAATGAAGGAAAAAGTCATAGCTCTATAGAAAAAGTTTTTGTGATTCCACCTTAATGAAGTGATCTGAGTTGAATATTTACTTAACATGAGATAAATAAAAATTATGTGACACCTGACACAATGCATGGAAAGGATCACAGCCCTCACTTTGCTTGTATGAAATTTTGAATAAAAGAATGAGGAAACAGAAGACAAATTCAAATTAAGGGACATTCTACAAAATAACTAGCTATCAGTTATCAAAATGGTCCAGGCCATGGAAGTCAAGAAGAGATGGAGGACCTCTTCCGGACAGAAGTAGACTAAAGAGAAGTGACATCTAGTGACAATCTATGCATTTGGAACTGGATTCTTTCACTACAAAAGGCAAACTGGGGCCAATGGTTAAAGGTTGAATGGGATCTGAAGGTGAGATGGTAGTAACTCCAACACGTGTTTACTAATTTTGATAGATAGATTGTCGTTACATAGGAGAATGTCCTTGTCTTTAGAAAATACTCACCCTAGTCTTGGAAGCTGTGACTGTGTCACCTTACCTGGAAAACAGAATTTGCAGGTTTGATTAGTTAATATTTGGAGATAAGAGATTACAAGGTGCAGTATCATAGGTGTATTTTTCTGGTGTTGTCCCAAGAATTCTTTTAAGTGAAAGAGGGAAGCAGGAGAGTGACAATCAAGAAGGACGTAGGATGAAGCAGAGGTTGGAAAGGCAATTTCTGGAAAGAGACAGGTGCCGTGGGAGGTGGGCAGCCTCTAGAATACGGAAAAGGCAGGAAACATTCTCCTTGGTGGCCTCCTGAAGGCATGCAGCCCTGCTAACACCTTGATTTTAGTCCTTATAAGATTTTTTAGTCCTTATAAGTCCTTATTTTGGATTTTTTTTACCTTCAGAACAGTAAGAGAAAAAATTTGTTTTCTTTTAGGCAACTGAGTTTATGAGAATTGTTAACAGCAGCAATAGGAAACTAATACAATAGATGTAAACTGCTGAAAGCAATACCTGGCATGCAGCAATCACGAACATTGGTCTACTGATATTGTTGGTGCTATTCAGTCAAGCATTCACTTTGTTTAGTTAGGAGCAAGGACTCTTTGTTTTATACTTTAGTCTTGTGGATTCGTAAAATACCTAATAACAGTAGTATCTACAGGGCAGGTGTTATAAACAGGTTTACGAATACACAACAAGGACTCTTGGTAAGTGCCCTGCTTCTTCTGCATTTGCCCCTCAGGTTCCACCTGCTCTGCGTCTCTGGAAGCTGATCTCATAAACTGCATAATGGACTCTCTGGCCCTCTGTTGTGTTTTCCTCTAATTTGGTCTTGAGACTTTCTCCGTAGAGCACCTATGAAACAGAGGGGTTCCAGAAGAAGTGGAGGTTCCCAGTGTACCTTTCCTAGGCTACTTCTTTGTCCTGGCAGTCGGCCTGACACCTAAGCGCCTGACTTGTGATGAGGGATCCCTCTTACGGGAAACTTGTTTATGCTGGCAGATGCCCTTGTGGCTCTTGTCTGATATGTGTCCAGCTTATTCCGACTGAGCGAACCACACTCTAGGGGAGCACTGACCTGGAGAGAAGCTAGGTTCAAATGTGCCAGTCAGGTCAGATGCAGCAGAGCCTGCTCAAGAAAACCCAGGAAGCAACAGAAGCAGTTTCATTACTTACAGATTCCAGAGAGAAAAGGGCAATATGCCTCCCAGGGCCAAGCAGAAGGTGGGGGCCATTCTGGACATGAGTGCTCAGCCACTAGTGGTGGGAGCAGACCTATGGGCCTTTATTGGGGTCTGGGGCATTACCCAAGCAGTTTTTCCTTGGGGAGTTCTAATTGGTGGGTTTAGAGCAAGCCAGAATAAGTTCCATGGAGTCATGCTGTGACCGAGAGGTGGTCGCTGTGGCATATCTGCACAGTCCATGTGGGGTGAGGGTCAATTGGGAGCAAGTCAAGTAGGTCGTATCCAGATGTCCCATAGTGGGATGGTCCCCAGGAGGCTATTGTATAAGGCAGACATCTGGATCAAGCACACTGAGGACCTGAGAGGAGGTGAAGAAATGAAAACTGTGTCAATGGGGAGGTTTCTGGCACAAGAAAGTTAGACCTGTATTCAAAATAAATGCTGAGATAAAAAGAATTATAGAAGTTCACCACACCCTCCAACTTCATTTGTCTTCCACAGAGATATTGGACAGGACATCAAAAGAAGGAAGAAGAGTATGATCAGGGCATTTGTTCCCCTGCCCCGGCCTTGCTGGCCAGTCAGTGAGCAGGGGCCACATGCCTGTTCTGAAGGCCACAGCTCCTGTTGGGTGGCCCTCTTTGTGGCTTTCTTTGGTCTTTGGTAACCTCTCCTTGCTCTTGTTCTTTCAGGCCTAGAGGTAGTGACAGCTCCCTGCTGTTGCTAGACGCTGGTGCTTCATCATCTGTTATTGACAAAGACTTTTCAAATTATCTGAACTTGATGACCCACATTGTGTGTACTGTCCTATGTGGATCATGACTGATAGAGTAAGTACCCATACATTTCCACAGCACAGAAAAGCAATACCCAGGAATGGTAAGATCCTTGAGTGGTTTCATAGCTACAGCCAGCACACCTAGGGACAGAGGAGGAATGGAAAGTACTAGTCTGGCTGATGAGACTTGTCAATGTCTCCACCTGTCATTGAGCTAGTTAGGTGTGTTCTCTGTTTCAGCAAAAGAGACAGCATACCATGTGGAAGAATGGAGGTATCTCAGCAAGATTGTATTAGGAAAGATTCATCTTTGGATGGGACTTGGGTTCAGTGATCTTGGAGCAGGTTTAGGAAGCAGGGCTTTGCTCTGAGTCGACGATGTGAGGAGCAATTCTATGATAGGGTACCTCAGTAGACACTATCTGCAGGGAGGCCAGGATAGAACAAAGACAGAACTATAATTGGGGAAGTAACATTAGTCCCTCATCTTTGCTGAGAGAGGGCGATGTTTGATATTTTGTTTCTTGTTTTTCTCCTCAGTTCAGACTGAGAGTGAGTGGTCTTGATTTTTGTCTTGATTCTTCATGGTCAGAGCGGCCTTGTTTGATGCTGATGTTCTGTGAAATTGTCTATGTCCACCAGGAAAACACAGGGCCCAGCTGTCAGAGCCAGGCCAGCTCTTGTCAGCTGTCAAGGTCCAGCTGACTGGTGCTGCTGTTCTCATTCTAAGTCTCTTTCATGGAGGTTGAAGTATGATCTGCATCAGAATCACCCTCAGAGAGCTTTTGAAAATGTACACGCTAGCTCCCTCAAACTCCGGAATCAATGTCTAGGGTGAGGGTCCAAAACTCTGCATTTTTAATCAGCTTGCTGCATTATTTGGATGCACATCACAGTTTAAAGGCCACTGGCCTAAAAGGAAAGATGTCACCAACTTAGGTTCATAAACTCAGATTTGTTGCAACCATTCACAGTGTGAGGCAGGAAGCACTAAGCTGCAAGTTAAAATTTCCATTTGTGTCAAGATCCAGCACCTGGATGGTATAGAATTTTAACTCAGTGGAACCAGCCTTTGAATTTACAAGGTTACCTGTGCTTACGCTTTGTGTGCCTGTTTTAGAAAAACCTCAACTAAGGAGGTCAACCTGTAAATGACAGAAGAGAAAAGGCTGGTCATCTATTACCATAAATCAATAAAATGTAGACACCCATAGAAAGGTGGCTGCCAAACAGAGAGAGAGAGAGACAGAGAGAGAGAGAGAGAGAGAGAGAGAGAGAGAGAGAGAGAGAGAGAGAGAGAGAACAATGAAAAATTGTGTCCAGATTCAGTGAGAACATTTGCAAGGGTAAACCAAAATTCCAGAAACAGAATTTTTCAAATGTGCATGACTGAAATCTCATTTAACAAGACAAATGACAGATCAGAAATGAGATGCCTTCACTGCAAAATGAAATGATTGTGACTAAAAACCCAAGAATCTTCTTCAAAGGAAAATTCTTAAAAAAGAATGCAAAGAAAGTAGAAATGAAGTTCCTTTATCCCCAAATCACAACTAGAAGAATATTTGGCATTTTCAAATATAAGAAAAGCAGCACCGGCAGTGTAGCTAAGATAGGGCCTGGTAATGAGCCTAATGTTGAACCTGATTTTGAGGGAAGAGTGAAATCCAGCTCCCCATGATGACAGGACAAGAGACTTGGGGCACCGACGTCACCACCGAGTCCACTTTAGGACATACATTTTTTTTTCCCCCATTGGATTTTTCCGCTCTTCAGATGTGGAACTGAGCTATGGTAATCAAATAACTCCACCAAAGCTTTCCTAACAAGAATTTCTGTAATGAGTCTCTTTAGCCTGAATAATGCGTTTTGCCTTACAGTCTATTTTGTCTGTAATCTCCACAGGCAGAGAGCCTGCATCTATAGCTCATTACCATCATTCTGATGATAATGCTACGTCTCATCAATTACTTCGGAGCAAGGTCAAATTTAGCAGCCAAATCTCCCCTGTAGCAAGGCCATCAAGAGCCTATCTATCACCCCCTTCCCAAGGCTACTCCCCCTGCAGAAAGCCTCCGTCCTACGTTCTCTCTCCCATTCTCTCTCTCCCTCCCACCCATCTCTTTCTACCCCTTCATCCTGTCACAGCTTTACCAGTTAGGAAATCCTGCTTGATTTAAGCTCTGATTAATTTATTCCATCTCGCTTTCATTTGAGAAAGGAAAAGTAACAATGTGTGGGAAAATCACAGAGACATAAAGAAGGGGAAGAATCTGCATCCAGGAGAGAATTGTCTGGCTTGGCAAATAGACATTGAAAACTAGAGTTATATGCTCTGTTAGAATTTTAATCCACGGGGAAGACCTGTCTGATTGAGAGTGTGATTGCTTAGGCCATGCCAGTCACATTTACTTTAATTAAAGAAATAACTTCCTGGTTCAGCAAAAAAACAAAAGAGAAAATAAAAACAAACCAAAAAGAAAACACCCCTCTTTCTTTCCAGAATTTGGCTCTGTTACAGAACTGTCAGCCAATAAAAAGTTCTTAAAAAGTATTTTGGTTTTAAAGGAAATTTACCTAGAAAGTACACCATAGTGCATGAACCTTTGACAACTGGCAGAGGTTTTGTATTTCTTTATGAAAGTTCAGCTCAATTCCACAATCCATTTACTGAATTTACTTCCTAGATTCAGTAAGCAAAGAAATCAACTTTATAAACACAGCTGTACTTGGAAAACAAACTTAACAAGATAAAAAGATCTATTTATTCACTTTGCAGAGTATATTTATAAATTAACCTTGCTTCTGAATAAAGATTACATTGATCCAACAACCACTCTTTAATCTTTTTTTCCCCCACGAAGTAGCAAGCCTGTGAAAAGACAAAATTCACGTAAGAGGTAGCAATTTGATGAGTTGCTACCAACCCCTGAATTTATATATTTTGAGTCTATGCTGTTAAGTGCATATAGATTTAAAACTATACATATTCCTAGTAAATATTTTTTTGGGGGAGCTGGAGTACCAAGGATTGAACTCAGGGTTACTCAACCACTGAGCCACATTCCCAGCCCTATTTTGTATTTTATTTAGAGAAAGGGTCTCACTGAGCCATTGCTGAGGCTAGCTTTGAGCTTGAGATCCTCCTGCCTCAGCGTCCCAAGCCACTGGGATTACAGATGGGTACAACTGTGCCTGACCCTGGAAAATATGTTTTTAATGATCTTCTTTAGTCATAAAATGATGTTTTGCCTTATAAAATAATTTGTTTGTTAAGGATAACACAATGGTTTTCTTTTGGTGAGAATTTGCCTTTTAAGTTTTTTCATGCTTTAATTAAGTCTTCCATGCCATTATGTTTTAGATATATATCTTTTATACAAGTGAATTTTAAAACCCAGTCAGAGCATCTCTGACTTGAATGTTAGTCCATTTATATTTATTGTGATTGTCTACATTGGATTTTATTTCCATCATTTTCTGGTTTTAACATGCCATATTTTTACTTTGCTTGTTTCTTATCCCTTACCTTTTTTGCAGTGTTCATTCACAAATAAATATTTCATATTACATATGTGCTGAACTTTCACTTTCTAATCAACCTGTCTCTTAACGACTCTTTCCTGTTTTCTTTTTATCTTAGATTACTCACAGGAATCTGCTTGTGAAATTTGTGCCTCCTGTCCTGGAAACTAGAGGCTCTATAATCAGAAGTTCTGGTTCTCAGAGGGTGGAAGGCTCCACTGGAGGACATGGTAAGAATCCCATTTTACTCTGAACTATGGCTATCACCAGGCTTCTCAGGGGTCCTCATCTCAGGAAGCCAGCAGGAAAGGGAAGATACACCTCCCTGAAGAGGGTAATATTACACTAATCTTCAGGAGGAGATCCAACTGCGTTACATCATGAAGAAAAGGAATAATATGTCTGACACTCCAATGAACCATTGGGACGTATCTTGTTTCTCTGCCGCCTAATTTGGGTGGTTAATGGATAGGTACCATCAACACCGCCTCCAAAGGGCATGGTGATCAGAGGCTTAGATCTTCACAGTTCCTACCAGTTAAGCGGCTTAAGACCATGAGATATACTTGCTAAAAGTGAAGAGAGTCTAGATTGGGTAATATAGGAAAGAGATGATGAAATTTAGCTGTGAAACTAGTTGAGGCAGCGGGAATTGTTAACTTTCTCCATTGTGTTTACATACATAAGGTTCATCAGGAATTGAGAACAAGCAGAGAATTGGTGATGCTCTTCCTAGATGGGACAAATTACAAAACACAAAAGTAAATGGAAATGAGCTGCCAAAGGGAGCAGACATAGAGGATGCTCTTCTGTCCTGCTCAGAGTCCTCACCTCCCACCCACCCACATTTTCAGGACCAGGGCCCCTATTTCCCTGCTGCCATGTGCATTGGCTGCTCATGGCCAATTTTGGATCTCTCTGGAAATGGTTTTTGGCCCAAAAGACTATCTTTCTCAAGTTTATGACTTCTTCCCATGGATCAGTGTGTTCTAATGACTGATATTGGGGCATAAAGGCCTAGCCTGATGGGGGTCATTCTTAAGAGCCATCTTAGCTCCAGAGATCCCTGCAGACTAAGCTGGGGCATCTGTTGAGACTGTATCACTGAATCTTCTCCTGACTCATCCTACTTCTTTAATTTCTTCAAAGGTGTTCCCTATAGCATTCTCCAGAAAATCTCTGACATGCAAATTTCCATCTTAGAATCTGTTTCCAGAAGATTCTGCTCAAGACATCATCTTTTCCAGATAAAACTTCTATTATCACAGATTTCTGGGTTCCTGTCCTTCTGTTTTTGCCTGTCTCTTGGATCACAGGTCATCTTCAATGGGAAACTTCCTGTAGAAGTCCTGTTCTAAGAGGCTGTGGAAGTGTCATTCAGAATGGCTTTTCTGTTCACTGCCACTGGGTATTCCAGTGATATAATTGTCCCAGGATTAATTTTTATGTGAATTTCTCATTTTGACAGTTCCTAAACCATTATAGAAGTATGCATTTTAAAACTTTGACACAACACGAGGCCAAGACCTGTGATTTTCATTTCGTTAGAAGTAGATTTTTTTTCCTTTTCTGTGATCTAAAACACCAAATTCATCTTTTCTCTCTGAAGGTGGGCAGATCCTTTTTTTTCCATGTCCCTAATTACTGATGCCATATCCCTTTGAACATTATAGTTTCAGGAAGGGGTGCGAGGTCTCCATTCAGTGTCTCACAGGACCCCTGGCCTCATATCTGGCCTGATTGTGTATCAAAACCCATACAATTAGTTATTACTGAATTTGATAAACCACGCATGGGGAAAGTTTTGTGGTCATATCCTGTGCCTATAGCTCTTAAGTTCAGGCACCTTGATATTTCCATTTATGTCTTGTAAGTTCATATTCACTAATATCATTTTAAATATATTAACATAATCTGAAATTATGACAAAGTATTAAAATGTTTCCTGGAACTTTTTACTAAGAAATGGGAAACATCAGGGCACTGATCTTGGAAATGAACTAGGGAAAATGACAAAGCTGAGAAAGAAATGAGAAAAAGTCACAGTTCCTTTCAGGTCCACAACATTCCCTGATTGGCTACTCATGGGACAGAAATGGATGGATCTGGAGTCCTAGTAGACTTCAGGTATCTCTCTTATGGGACTGTGAATTTCTCAAGGGCAGGAACTGTGTCTTGTCTGCTGTTTTATCCCTTGAATCCCTAGAATTATGCTTAGCACATCATAGGCGTTCATAGATACCTGCTCACTACATTAGTCACTTATAAAGCAATTCTGCGCCAAATGATCAGATATCAAAAAAAAAAACAAACAAACTAGGAGTCAGAATATTGCATAGCATTATAATCAATACTAGTCTAAGGAAAAAAATAATAGAGAAGAAAAATGTGAATTGAGTTATTGTATTCATTCATTCTTATATTCTTCCAACAATTATTTTTGTCTTTTGTTGAACAGACTTGGCATGGAGATTATGATGGTGAGCTGAAAGAAAGACACCGCCCTGCCCACATAGAGATGTGGGGGAAGCAGATGCTAATGAATAAACTAATGAACAAAAATTACAACATGGTAAGTATTAAGAAAAGGATAACCAAACATTCTGTCAGCCCAGGACAATATCTGTTTACATATATATTGTTCCAGTGTAATTATTAATAGTACTCCCAGCCGCTGTCAAGTGTACCAGTTTGGATGGTCATTTCAGCTGAGAAGGACACAGCATTAGCAAAGGGTACAGCAGGGAGAGCCAGCCAACTGGGAAAGGCAAGACTGAGCTGGAAAATGGAGAATGAAATACACAGACAACGTGATTAGGTAGGGGTTCTGGTGGGAAGACTCTGCTAAGCATACAGAACACAAGCAAAGCAAAGAACATTCAAGAAATCAATTGCAGGCTTGTCCTGCTAGAGCTGCAAGGGCAAGAGGTAGACTAAAAGGCACAGACCATGCAAGCCTATGGGCACCTAATGAATCTCAGAATAATCTTCTTTATCCTTTCATCAAATATGGAAGGGGAAGTGGGGGAATTTAGAATTTTGAAAAGATTCCCTTGGATTGCAGTACATAGAACAGATTTTTAAAAGTCTAGGAAGCTAGATAGAGGTTACTGTAGTAGTGGTACAATTAAGAAACAGTAGCTTCAAACAAAATGGTAAGGGAGATAAAAATAAGTGAATTTAGAAAGTGTCCAGAAGGCAGAATGAATAGAACATGAAGATGGATTGGCTAGGAGAAGAGAGAACCAGGGAGAAATCTAGAAGTGAGTTCTGGCTTACACACCTGGGTAGATATTGATGCAATTGGCAGAGCCAGGGAATGCAGCTAGGGTTAAGATGTAGCACATCTTTGTTTTTACCCATGCATTTCTCTCTTTAGGGAGCCACCATTCATTGACTCCTGGTATACTGCAAGTTCTGTGGGTAATAACAAATATGTTTACTGTGGTATACAATGAGTATAAGTACACAAATCCGTATTTTATCAGTTATCATAATTCCAGCTGCAAGTAGTAGAAAGCTCAAGTCAAAATAGCTTAAACAAGGGCTGGGGATGTGGCTCAAGCAGTAATGCACTCACCTGGCATGCCCGGGGCGCTGGGTTTGATCCTCAGCACCACATACAAATAAAATAAAGATGTTGTGTCCACTGAAAACTAAAAAATAAATATTAAAAAATTCTCTCTCTCTCTCTCTTAAAAAAATTGCTTAAACAATGAGACTATTTAAAGTCCTAGAGTAGAGAGCTCCAGTTGGCTGATTCAGTGGCACTGATGGCATCAAAGATGCTCGTTCTTTCAATCTTTTTACTCTGCTATTGTTATTCAGTTGACATTTCCTAGACTTGTACCCTTGCAAGACTGGTATCCCAGTATGAAGCACACACAGCCATGACAGAGTGACTCCTTTCCCCCATGTATCTCTTCTTCAAAGCTGAGAATCCTTTTCTTTAATTCCCCAGCGGATTCTTCCTCCCATCTTAGTGCATAGAACAGTAGAACAGGCTTATTCCTAAGCAAGAACTCACAAGAGGAATGGGATTGCCCTGACTTCCAGAGAAGCATACAGCCAGGTGGAAAAGGATGATTTGCCGAGCAAATTTTGAGTTTTGTCTAAGAAAAAAAGATGGAATGAATGCTGAGTAGGCAATGCAGGTGTCTGCCGTAACTATGGGGCAAGAAGCATTTAGTATTGTCTTAGGAGTGAAGAGAACAGCTTAGTAGATGGAGGTAGAAGTCACCTTGGAGTCTGAAGGAGGAGAAATATTTCCAAGGCTGGGAAAGGTGATTAGGTTTATGTCACTCTGAAGGGAGAACCTGAAGTCTGAGATTCCAGCAGCAGTTAAAAGAATACTGACAGAAATCCACCTTTACCCATTGATTCTTCTGATTTCAGGCATGCTTGTGGCCCTCCCAAATCCCTCCAAAGTCATATAAATACTGTTTCTCGTATTGTTTCTAAGCTTCACTGAACTCAAAGGGGAAAGGTTGAGTAGTGTTTTGCATAAAAGAACTAGAAATATTTGTTACTTAGCTCTGGCTCAATTCGAGCCTGACCTGTTTCTGTCATTACCACTGGAATTCTCTAGCTCTTGCCAGATTTTGAGTTGTCAGGATAACAATTTATCTATCTTGTTGTCAGATCCACAGCTAGTTTGCCTGACTCTAGGGGAATCTAAATGGCGATCACTATCCACGGTGAACAACTCCTATTTTAAATGCATTTAATTCCAGTCATCCTCCTCCTGCCACATCCTGTATCCAAAGATGACAAGCTACTACAACAATACAATTTCCACCAGCCACCCATGAATAGGTTTCTCTACTTTTCTTCCAATGCTCAGTAAAACTGGCAATATTCACCAACCACTGTTACTAAGTCAGTCTTCCACGTCTCTGGGACCAGAGATCTCCTCTGTTGACTTCCATCTTCCTTTCCCCAGCCAGCCATTCTCAATTCTTGACTGTTCTTCAAAAGACCCTTGATTTCCCAGGATGTTATATAACCTTTTTAGTTTTGTAAAAGACCAGTTTTGAAGCTTCTCATTTTAGAGACAAATCTCTAGATTTGCTTTAAAGGGACAACCAGAAATTATTGTGCATATTTCATAATTCATTCCCTTGGGCTTTTCCCCCCTCACAATGGGTCCTTTACAAAGTTTTAACTACAAGCTTTAAATTACCCTCTTGACGTACTTGTCCTTTTCCTCTTCTTCCAAGGAATGCTTGGAAAGGAATCCAATTGTGGGCAGATGTTAGGTCTTTCTCAAAAGCTTTTGTGTCAAGTAACAAAACACAGTTGTAGTTTAAATAAAAATACTAATAGTGATTTGCATGATAAGCAAGAGTGGTAATTACTGGCTTTGAAAGCATATCATAATGACTTTTTACAATTGTACTTATACTCTATTATTCTTCCTCCCTTATTCTCTAGTCAGTGTTCCTAATTACACTGCCCTGGGAAAATGCACTGAGAGAAAATACAGTAACACACATGAACTGATGAAAGACCCTGGAGCCCCAAGTAGCCAGATGGGGTTAGACAGGTAATGTAGAGGCACAGGGCACTCACCTCAGGACATTTGGACCTCCTTTCCCACTCATTTTCCCACCCTCAAAAATATACCTAATTGCTAGTGAATCAATTAACCGAAATATACTTGCCAAACATCTATTACTCATTGAGGTGGATTATCTTAGAGATTCACAATTTATTTACATTTGCTATTAGGTACAATCGGACTAACGGAGAACTAATTCAGCCACAAAGTATTGTGTTTCTCCCCATGATTTTATTATGTTGTTTTATCACTTATTTTATCCTTCATTGAAGGATATAATAAGAAATGGAATTATAGAACTTGTTGTATTAGCTGCCAGGATTTTTTTATAGGACATCACTATATTATGCTGAGTCCTTTTATGAGGACTCAATGAGGAAACTTGTATTTAATTTCATTATTGGAAATAGTCACACTTGTTTTTTCCCCAAAAGTTGGAAAAAAGTCCAACTTTTTCCTTTCTTCCTTTTTAAAAATTTCATGGCCTCTGTGAATCATGTCACTGGTCACGTTTTCGTTTTTGCCTTGTCTCCTAGATCATAATGCTGTGGCTTCTCTCTCACAAAACTACCCGGTACCTCACGTACATGTGCGTGTGCTGGGCTCACTCTTTGTTCCATCTCATTTTCCTCTACACTTGCTTTGTACTGTCCCAATAACTCCAGTTATGTATTTTTTTTCACACAATAAATATTTATTTCTTGTTCACATAATTGCTGAATGCAGCTACTTTGCAGGGGACATTCTGTGAGATAATTTGGGGATTCATGGTCTTTTACCTTGTTGATCTTCCAGCCTTGAGACCCTCCCATTCCCTGCAGGGAGTGGGCACAAGGGTGAAGAGACAGGGTAAAGGATCCTGTGGGAGGTTTTATGGGCTGTACACCACTGCTGCTTATATTCCAGAGTGCAACCGCACAAACATACCAGCAGGAAAGGAAGTTGAAAATGTGATTTAGTGTTGTGTCTGGGGAGAAAGGGAAATGAGTATGGTGAGTGACTATCCCATATTTGGCAGCACAAAAGGTAAGGTATAAAGGAAACCACTCGCTCTGCAATACCTAGGATATTTGGAATGCTATTAGCAGAATCATTAATGTTAGTAGAAATAACCACTAATTGTTCAGAAATATAACTCCAGGGTATTTGGGGAATTCTTTCTCCAAGACACCTTTCCCCCTGTCTACTTTTCTCAATCTTCCTGCCATTGCCTCTGTTTGTGTCTTTTCTATCTCATACTCAGTTTGCTGGAAACTTCACCTTCCTGGTCTGAGAAGTCTGTCTTTTGAGCTTGTCTTATGTTTGCTTTTTTTCCTGCAAGTTGACTCACCTATTTCATTGTTACCTAATGCTATGTAAAAATCACCCCAAAACTCAGTGGCTTGAAAGTGCAATAATTAGTCATCTCTTGTGGTTTCTGTGGGCCAGGAATTTGGGTAGCAACTTGGTTGAATGATTTGGGCTTGGGGCTTCTCATGGGGATGCAGTGAGATATCTTCTGAGATCTGTAGTCATCTGAAAACTGAGCCTGGAGGGCTCACTCCCAAGGTGGCTCACTCATGTGGATATCAAGTCAATGCTGGCTGTAGGCAGGAGGGCTCAGTTCCTCTGCAAGTAGACCTCTCCACAGTGCAGCTTGAGAGAGACCCCATGACGTGGTGGTTGACTTCTCCCACAATGAATGACTCAAGAGAAAACATGTAAGTCACATGTCACTGTCACCTCTGCCATAGTCTCACATAGCACAGCCTTGATTCAAAGTGGAAATAAACCCCATCGGACATGAATACCAAGAAGCAACTGTTATTAGGGGCTATCTGGGAGACCAGCCACCACACAGACTTTGTATTTATTTGGACCATGTCTCTCCCCCAATGTCAAGTTTTCAAAATTCTCTCCCACTTTCAATAACCAGATCAAAGCTCATCTCTTCTAGGGGTCTTCCCGGATCTGTTGTTGAAAACTAGTGTAATCCTAGTGTCACTTATTTTTCTTACCACACCCAGGCCTTT